GCCTGTTAAATCATCCAATCATAGTGCTCATGGATTTGTGTCTTTGGAAATTGTCAATCCTTGAACATTTTATGGATTATGGAAAGCTTCCCATGACAAATGGGAGAAACTGGACCAAAATACTCTAAGACAATTCTCTTTTTTGTAGTGGAAAATTCAATGTCAGGCAATAGCCAGAAACAATGTGAAGACTGGGGAAAGCAGATATAACCAACATAGCAGGATATATAGTAGAGGAAGGGGTTTTTCTGAATAACCATTAGCTATTAAGAATGTTTCCATAAGACTGAAACAACTCTCTGTATTACATTATTTTACAATAAAATGTATTAAGTGAAAGTTAATTAAAAGCAAGGCAGTAAACAACAGAAAAAACTAAAAATCATAGTAAAAAACATATAATAGAAAAATGGTTGTTTTTACATAGAAAGTTACTTTGAGTTTACAAATATAGCTCTATATACATACATAAATGTAAATATTTTATAAAAGCAAAAAAAATATGTTTATTATTTTCTAAAATATTTTAACAGGATTGTTTGAAAGGATTTTTCTTCTTTTTTCCTCCATATATTTGTTTTGCAATTGCTGAAAATTCATACTAAATTGAAATTTAGCTTGTATTAATCATGACCTGATATCAATTCATAACATGTATTAAACTGAATACTGTACTATTTGTGGACTTGTACTAATCATAACTTGCCTGAATTGTAAAAATACTGTGAAGGGAATGCTTTCCATATACAGTAAGACCCTGCTTAACACTGATTTGATGTAATGCCGTCTGCTCAAAGCCTTAAAAAAAAGCTCAAAATTTATACTGATATAAATTATTGTGGCATTTTATTGATTCGTATATAATACGATTGGTTCATGTTCATAAATAATCAGAAAAAGGTGGTAAAAAGATGTACAGTACTTTCTTTAAATCTGTTTGTTTGGTGAAATTTTGGAAAAATATAACATCATGGATGCCACGAGCAATATCAGCTTCACCTGGTAAGAATTAACCGATAAATGCATGAACAAAGTCTGGAAGAAGTTATGGCTGAAGGTATCCAAGAATTCTCAACGAGAAGAGTCTATCGCTGTATGGTTAGGTTGACCAAAGTCAACCTAATCGATACAGCAGGACTAGATGTAGACGAGCAGGATATTGAGGAGTTACCGCAGGTTTCTGGTGAGAGTCTTACCAACAACAACCTTCAAGAACTGGCAGAACAAGGATTTCATGTAGAACTGGAAAATAGAGATTCTGAAAACAAAGAACCCAAAAAATTTCTCTACAGATTTCCTTAGTAAAAGTTTGATTACGATAAACAAAATCATTGATCAAAGTGTAGTAAATAATCCAGATTTTGAAAGGAGTGCAAAAGCAAAACAAGGCATTTTGGATGCGATCTTCTGCTACAGACATTTGCTTAAAGAAAGATGGAAGCGACAAGTGAAACTTCATGACTTTTCTGAAATTCTTGTTTTTTTTGCAATAAAGTCAGGATCTTCATCACAAAAAATGAACTATATTTTTGTGTGCATATGTTTATGTGTTATTTAACATATATTATTATACAAATTAATATAAAAATAACTTAAAATTAAAGTAAAATTTGTTTATTTTTGGTCACGTGTTCCCCTACCCCTATTTACTCTATGTTAAAATGACCTTGTTTAACATTTTGTTTAGCGCATTGTTGTCTAGGAATGCATCCCCACACTAAGCGGGATCTTACTGTACTATAATTTTCCATTTGAAATTAAATTTTTACTAGGAAAAAATAATTTGGCAAAGTTAAATTATTCTTATTACTATTAATACTAACTTTATGCTAAAATTATTGATAACATTTTGATGCTTGAAAAACTTATTTCAGAATGAATGTGACTTATTATATAATTCTCTATTCAATAATTCATTGCATTATTGCAGATTTCAAAATGGAAATTCATACTACATTCTTTTTATAAAACTTCTATTTTGAAAACTCCAATACTGTTAACAGGTTAGATATTGAAATGACATAACAGAGCTTTGAAAATGTTTTCCATAAAATTTAGAACCATCAAACAAGATATTTTCAAACATTTAAATAGATATTCAATTCTTTTGCAAAGTTTTATTCTTTTATATTCCAAAAAACATTTAAGAAGGGTTATTTTAGTACTGGCATACAAGAATCTTTAATTTATTAGAGTAGAAATGTAAGTTAAAGATATGGATCGTGTAAATTTGTTATCTTGATTTACAGTTCTCTATTAACAATCAAGAAAATAAGCTATATAAATCAAAGAGTGAAGAAATTTTTTTATACTTACCAACATAAATCATCTTTTGCACTGTTTAAATTAAGCAAAAATTTTCTTGATATTAACCTCAAAGAGTGTCTGAATCTATTATATTTTGTGAATAATTCTCAATACAATTTATCATCATGATGGTGATAAGCATTTAGTTCCCCTCACTGTTCTTATGTAGTCACTATAAAATAATTATTAAAGTTGGACTTCGAACTCACATTTGAGTTATAAATAAACACTTGGCTTTATTTCCATCATTTTTGTCAAGTATCAACTAAAAATGATGGAAATAAAGCCAAGTGTTTATTTATAACTCAAATGTGAGTTCGAAGTCCAATATATTTGCAAAACACTGTTTCAAAAACAGCATAACAATTATTGAAGTATTTTATACAACAGGGTAAGTGGAAAGTAACTAGGTATTGAGAGATCACTATCATTTTTGTATTAATAATTCAATCATAATAAAATTTGTGTGTGCATGTACTGTACATCAATTAATGGAATTTTATAATTCCTACATTGGTGGTGTGGTATGCATAGTGACTTGAAGGGACACACACACACAGCAGCAAAAAAGAATGCCAACCACTTGTATGTTTAGGAGTGAGCAGAGATGATGGTATATGATGCCACAATCCATACAAAAAAAACAGTCAAGAATTGTTATTCAAAGCTTAAAATGATCACAGGTTATTTTAAGCTGTCTATTCACATCATAATCTGAGGAAAATGCATTATTGTTAGCTAGTGCCAGTGCCCACAGTGAATTTTAAGTTATGCATCCATACTTCCATTTGATAAGGTACAATGCCAAATAATTTATCATCATCTTTGTATTAGAAATAGAATTTATAGTGATTTCTCAATGCCCAGTTACTTTCCACTAACCCTATATACTCTCCAAGCCATCTCTCATATTTATGATAAAAATTCCTGCAAATCCTCACATTATAAGAAAAGTATATAAATGAGAACTCTTACTAATAAAAAAATATATATATGAACAAATCTTTTTCATCTTAAATGAAATTTTTGTTATTAATATAACATAAGCTATTTTACAAATAATTTGACATGAAAGTTGTATAATTATAATTTATTAACTTTAATAATTAATGTGAATAACATTGATTAGAAAATTCCCAATTCATTCAGGTCCAAGAAAACATTAAATTATTGATACTATGAAGTATTTTCTTAATAATGTGTTTTGTTTTTAAAATTTTGTTTTAAAATATAAAATTCTTTAACTGTATAAGGTTAATTAGAAAGATTCAATCTTCATCTTGTCTGTACACAAAATATTAAAATTGTCTATTGAATAGAATTTGAATTTATTTGATAAAATGGTGATCAACTCTAAATTTCTTTATATGAAACTTTTTTTACTATTTTGACAAAATAATATAATTTTTTAGAATTATAAATTATATAATCCTCTTTAAAATTTAAACTTAATTTAAATACATGGAAAAACATATTATTGATATAATTCCAATTTAAAATAATTTAAACATTTTTAATTTACAAAATAATATGTCAACTTAAATTTTTTCTATGGATATATAATTCACATATCCAATATGAATTCAGGTTCACGATTACTAATTTCTGACTGTTTTAAAAACTGGGATTTTGTTCTTATATATCACTCTTTAAATTAGAAGCGAAAATTACAAATTAAGTTATAAATACAATTTTATTTACATAAAAAGGGGAAATAAACAAAGGAAATGAATTGAAAATTTGCATATTGAAGAAAAGAATTTTATTTTACACTCAGTATCTCTACTGACATGATTACTTTTGATTTTACACTATAAACTTTTATGTGTTGATTGGAAAATTGTTAAAAATTGAAATTTTGGAAAATTATTATGAATATAGGAATGATGCGAATCTTTTATGACTTATATTAAAAATTCTCTCTCAAAATGAGATATTATAATTTTATAAACTTATAAAAGCATAATAAAATTTTAATTACAAAACAATTTTCTAATTTTTACAAAATATGTCTTCAAATATTGCCTATTTTTTCTTTTTTTTTTATTTTACTTACACACAGCATGCATGTATTCACTACATTTTTTAAATCCTTCAATTATTGCTTTAGTGTAAATAATTTAGAAGTAATGGTTTGTGTTTCAAATACATTTCATTAAGACAAAAAAAAAATTCATGTTCAGCAGAATTTTCTGTACATTTATTTGTGGATGATCAGACATATACAGAGTATAAAGCTTTTGCACGCGTAAATACCAATATCAAAGAACCAACAAACCTGCTGGACTTGACCCCTACACAGAGAACCAGATCAATTTGAAACAACCTTGGGGAGGGGAGGGGATTAATTTGCTGCACTGTATTCCTGAAATTGTTTTATGGTGAAACCATTCAGTCTGTACACAACAATATCACTAAGAATGACAAAAAAATATTAATGTCTGTGCTTTTTTTCTTCTGTTAATAGAAGAAATTACATTTCAAATGCTGAATGACCTACACAAAGCAAACTGTACATAATGATGTTTCAGAAATAAAAACATTGTCATGAAGACATTTAGACATTATACCAGGTTCTGCCTAAATCTCCAGAAGACAGTCAAATTAGATTCTAAGCAGTTTAATGTCAGACTTTGGGTAATACACTATAAACATCTGTGTAAATGTGGGGTTTAGAGTTCTATCTCTTATACATTGACAACAAACTTGTGCAGCTCATTTGTTCATTTCAAAATTTACACAATCTATTAAGTGCTTTCAAGTTCAATTCCCCAGACAAGTTTATCAACTGCTATTTTATAGTAACAGAATGTGAACAGTTAAAAGTAAACAGAACAGTCTTTTCAGGCACTACATATCTACTAAATCTGTATTTTGCCTGAATACAGTCTTATTATGTAAAATAAATACTGGTAAAATATGTCCCACACAGGGTCAAACAAGTGCAGCTACACATCAATTCACACCATTCCCAGAGTTATAACATGCAAATATTTGTCATGTTGATGTTGTGGTAATTTTAGATGAATCATTGCACTTATGCCAAATGTGCCAATACAGCGCTAAATGACAAATCAGCACCCAAAAATAGGATGTTGATAGTGACCTGACCTTATTCAGACAGTTCACAAATCAGATTGCTTTGCTGTAACACAACCATACTTAAGATCACAAATATTCAATCCTATCAATTTACTACATCAGATCATGCAGTAGTTCCATTACACAATTCAGATTCGTTTTCTGGTTGTGAACATTCAAATAGAACATCGGCCATAATTGAAGCTACTCCTTGGTCCAGAATTTGAGACATTACTAGAGCAAGGAGACGTTGCTGATGCTGAAGAAAATATGTGCGATTTTCTGGTACCCGTGCTAAACATCTTAAAGTGCTAGCTGCTCGTCGCACCATGTCTAATGTAGTACCCATTAACTCAGGATTTTCTCTTAGTGCATTAATACCTTGAGAATTGGCTACTTGTAATGCACTTTGTTCTGCTTGCTCAACAAAAGTAATCAAATGAGGTATGCAAGAACCTTGAAGAAGAATAGATCTAGCTGCAGTATTATCAGCTCGTGCTAAATTTGACAGCAATACTACAGCAAATTCTCTTAACACCTGTTCTTCACAGCGATTTAATAATCGGACAAGGAGTCCAAACAACTGTTCAATTCTTGACCAGGGTGGTGTAGCTAAAAGCAAATCCACATTACTATCCAAAGTTGACAACTTACAAAGAGCTTCCAGAGATAGCCTCAAGGGTGATAGGACGGAGTAGGGTGGCTGAGTGGGAAGTGGATCTTGGGCATATGATGAGGGACAAACAGCCCAATGAAGTAAACCATCAAATAAAGGTAAACTAATCTCTTCTGGATAAGGACCAAGATCCATCTGGCCAGTAATATTTGCTAAGGTAACAAGAGTATTTTCTCTTAATAAATGCATTACGTCCCACCACCACTCCTCATCACTTGTTAGACTACTACAAGAATCTGTATTACAAGAATTATCAGCATCATCTTCCTTGTCATAATGTCTTTGAGACGGACGACGTGAAACATGAGTATGATGAAGTTGCAAGAGTCGCCCCATTACTATTAAGAAATTTGCATGCTTCGACATTTCATTATCATTACCTGGAACAAATGACAAGTTACGCAAAAGAGAAGAAATACACAGACAACGCTGCATTAAAGAATTTTGTTTCTCAGTTATCACACAAAGTGATGGTTCATCACGATTATAAGCTTCTTCTTCTAAATCTTCTAAATGCTTTCTCTTTTTTGGAGCTGGTTCTCTTATATAAGGATAAGTAATTTCTTCTTTTATGGGATGCACTACTGAATCTTCCTTCTGTTCAGTTATATTTTCAGTTTGTTCTTTTATCACTTCTGAAATCACAGGTGTTTCATTAAGTTGCTTTGATTGCTCACTAGAGGGAAACTCTGATTTTTGATCAGATAAAGATTCAGAATTTTCTTTACAACATAATCTATCTAGAACAACAACTGGTTCCTTAGCACAGTTTAAAATTGTATTGAAAGTTTTTGTTTCAGATGTTTCAGCTTCATCACCATTTTTATCTTTGACTAAATCTTCCATGACACGTACAAATCTTAAACAATTATCTGAATTTTCAAAATGAGTCTGAATATGAAGAATCATTTCACCACCACCTATTTTCCAATGTTCTGCTCCACTGTTAAAACCTTCATACACATCCCATTCTTTATCTGGATCAAATAAGAAGAGAGATTCATCATATTTTGTCCTTACAATTTTTCCACACCGCGTTCTTTTGGTATAATTTTTTGTCTCAAGCAATAATATTTTATCTTGTGGATTAATTTTCATAGGAGTAAATAACTTTTCACTGATATTATTTTCTTGAGGCAGATCTGATTTAACTTCAAACCACTTTTTCTTTGATCTTGGTTTTTCTTCTTTCTTTTCTATAGAGTTATCCTGAAATTTAGCTTTTTGAAATTTTTCAAGTAAACTAGATTGTCCAATATCTAAGTCTTCTACTAAACCAAATATCACATTCAAGCACCGACGATAATGTTCCATTAAAGTTTCTAACAAACCAGGAAGATGATTAAGTCCAAAATACAACACAGTATTATCATCATACAACAACACTGATAAAACATCAAGAGCCCAAGTAGTTTCTGCTAATAATCCTGATTTCAATGCCATCATCAATCTCCAAGCTTCTAAAGGACTAACATCCTTTGAAGTTAAACGCCTACGTTTTGTAAGAATTGGACTTATAGATTCTACAGTACCAGATGGAAATATAATCTCTCTACGGGATTGATGAGACATATACTGATGAGGCATACTCATATTGGGATGTTGCTGAAAATAATTAAAAAAAAGTATATGTAAATAACAAAATATTAAACACTTTTTATTATATTTATTTATATATTTTAAAATATCAAGAATTATTTCATTAAATGGTCAATTTTTAAATTTAAATTGCTGTAAAATAATTTTATATTTACTTCTTTTAAAGAATAGTATTAAGCAAAAGAGAGAATTTTTTAAAAGTTTTTATGTTTGTTTATTTAATAAAAAAAATTAATAATCAGAACTCTTCCATGATGCTCTATTATATGTGCTTCATGCAAATACTTTCTTTATAATAATTACTACTTATTGTGAAAATTTAGAAGAAATATTTCTTTAATCTTTACCATTTTTATTGTTTTAAACACTAAGCCAAATTTTGCAGTTCAAGAGTTTGATTTTCAATTTCATTTATTTGCTATGCTATTAATGCTTCATAATACAAATGAATTGTATTTTTCTTTAAAAATAGTAGTCCTTCATTTGACTGAATAAATAATAATAATTTTATTCAAAGGCAAGATCATTGTTTCAATAAAATATGTTTTTCAGACCTTAATTTCATTTTTCACTTCAATCTGAATATTACTATCTTGAATTACTAAATATTTAAATTAAATTTTATTCATTTCCATTATTCTATTTATCATGACCTACAGTGTAGTTATGATCCTAACAAATATTTACCCTTGTACTAAACTTAATGATTGGTCAATACAATATTAAGACAATATTTTGTTATGAAACATCAGCATAGAAGACTAGTGAAATTTACAAGAAAATTCTATATAATTTTAAATGTAATTATTGTCCTGGCTATTTACTAGTTTTTACTAGTTTTATTAATGTTGAAGACTAGTGATGTTCTTCAATGATTCAAGAATAGATTGCTCCTATTTTGATACAAATGATGACTTTCTTCTTTTTATATGATATTTAAAAAGGCTTCCCCAAAATAATAATGGTTTTCCTGAATTTATTTGATTTCATTACACACTATAAATTTTTAAAAACAGTACTTACAGACATCTTATTTGGTGGAATATATACCCTTTCTCTACCATAAGGCATTTTGCCCGCTATAGATAAAGGTACATTTCCCATATGAGGTGAATATGAATCTTGTTGACTTCCATAAGATACTGGCCAATTATTATGACTAATGGGAGGTCCTTCTCCATGTCTTGATGCATCCCATCCATCTCGTTGTCCAGGGTGATACTGATTTTGACTAACAGAATTAGGATATTGTCGATATTGACTATCTCTTGGCCATCCTAATATTAAAATAAATGGCATAAACAAAATGTTGATCATTAAGCAACACAAAGATAATCTATTAAATCAAACTATACCTTGCTGGGGTCCAGAACTTGGAGCTAGTGACATATTATGTGTAGGTCGATAGGAATATTGATTTCGATCTGTTAAAATAATAAATTTTCTTATATAAGTATATTTGTATTCTGGCAAAGCTAAATGATCTAAGTGCCAAAAAGTACATTTTGGTGAAAAAGTAAAAACTTGTTTATCCATGGCAAATAGAGCAAATGTTTATTTCTTTATAAGCTTAATGCTCTTCAAAAAATGTATGGAGAATGCTCTAACAGTTCATAGATTTGCATAAATGCAATAAAAGACAATCACAACAAAATAAAGTTGGAAATAATCTAAATCCATAGTACAAAATGTAAAATGATTTAATTCCACAGTCATTATTCACTTAAAGTGGCAATGAAAAAAGTTGCTGTTTTTTCACATAAATTCCAGCCTAGTATGATTATCTTCCTTGTTGTCATTCTATGGTTGTACACCTGATAAGCACAACAGCTCTGCTGACTTGACATCTTGGAGAATTATTCCTTTCTTGAACAGTATTTCTCCCACCCTGTTAGTTGCTGAAGCTTTTTTCGTGGAAAACCCAACCAGGTATTTTTGATCACTCACAGCCATGATGCTTTACTTTTTATTGAAAAATTACTTCTAACAAAAAAAATTGTTTTAATCTCACAGGTGCAATTCTAGTCAGACACACAGATCAACTAGCACATGAAAATATGGATATACTGTGAGATCCATCTGTTGATGCTAATTAAAACAAAAAATGCAGAGCATTGCACTTGAATCACATGGCACTCCATTGGCTTTGCCACTCTATATTTCTTAAATGAATAAAATAATACCAATATTCTAACCTGGTAGATTTTATAACAGACTCTATTTCTTGCCTAATAATATTTTATGAATTCTGATTAGAAAACTATACTTTTGACATAGCTTTATATAACTATTATTAAACTATATATTCAGAAGATACTTATATTAATTTATCTATTTGTCCTCCTAATGTCTATAGCAGCATTTCTCAATGTGGGGTGCATGCCCCACCAAGGGGAATTTGAATGTTTTGAGACAATGAGCAAATAATTAATATTTGTTACATTTTCACTTCAGTTCTATATATAGGCCTATATATATTCTGATACTTTATTTGCTGTTTTTTCATATCACTTCATATTATTATTATTTTGTTGGGTTTTGTGAGTTATACTCAGTTCACACCGGTGGCTGTGTACTATGCCGGACCAAAGTCAAGGCATAGCAACCAAAACAAAACTAAAATTAAATACGTGTGTCAGTGTGTGTGTCTGTATTCAGGAATTTCCTAACAATGTGGCATGTATTCAATATAGTGGCCTTCTGTAGTGTGATGTATGTATTTCTACTCAATTGTAATGTTCCCAGGCTTTTGTGTAGTGTGTGGTATCACACCTGTACAGGAGAGAATGACAGGTACAATAAGCACCCTTTCCATCCTCCACAGATGCCTGATTTCCTGGGCGAGTTCTGTGTATTTGCTAATTTTTTCAGTGAATGTGTTTTGTATATTGTGAGTGTTTGGAATGGCTATGTCTATAATGTATGTAATTTTATTGTGTTTGTCAATGAGTGTGATGTCTGGTCTGTTGTGGTAAATTGTTTTATCTGTGATTATGGCTCTGTCTAGTACATTTTGTGCGTGTTGTTTTCCAATACTGTCTATGGAATGTATTTGTAGTATGGTTTGTGGATGTCTAATAATTTGTGTTTCTTTGCAAGCTCTTGGTGTATTATATTTGCTACTTGATTATGTCTGTGTAAATAATCTGTCTGTGCCAAGAGCTTGCACCCAGAAGTGATGTGTTGTATAGTTTCTGGCATGATGTGACATTTTCTGCATGTGTCATTTGTGAGTGTTTTATCTTTGAGTATGTGTTTTCTGTAGTTTTTAGTATTTATGACCTGATCCTGTATGGAAATCATGAATCTTTCCGTCTCCCCAAAGAGGCATCCCCGATCTAACCAGCTGTTTGATGCAGTTTTGTCAACAAAATCCTAGGCCAGGTCATAAGGATGCCTGCTGTGGAGTGCCTTTCGAGTCCACGATTGCTTGATGGGGTCTATGCTTTTTGTGTGTTGTGTCATGTCTGTATGTTGTGAGTGTAAGTTTAATGGTGTGTTATTTGAGTCTG